GTCAGAGGAGAAAATGTCAAAATTATTTTCTCCAGAGAACTGTCACCATTCCTGCTGCAAGTTGACCATTCCAGTATGCTGGAATAAACTTTGATGCACCAAGCCAGGTGTTTCTAAATTCTTGACACTTTTATGTATGCTTTATGCTGACTAACTTTCATTCTTATATGGTAAAAATATGCAAAAAGGAAAGGCAATACAACAAAAAGCAGGGGTATCATAATACAAAGAAGAGATGTGCAAGAGATGAATGAGTAAGGTAGTGTGCTTTTCCAAATCCATTTTTTTCCTATATTTTAAGAAGCCACAGGTCAACCCAATTCAGCACTAATGCTAGTCATTCCATTTTGAAAATCCTTTACAACTATTAACTTCCTGTGGCTTCAAATGCCAGATGAATCCTGGCCCAGAACTTCCGCACCCGCCAGCCAGTTTTCCTTTGCTTGTGAAAGTGTGAAGTACATGTTAAATCAGTGAGGCCTGTTAGAACAGGCAAATGGATTCCCACAGGGTCCACTCACCAACTCCACTCTCCAGCATGAGGCAAAAGGTCCAATTCACCTCTTGTCATGTACCTCCATGGCCGGGTATAGCCATTCTTGTTAGTGCACCCCAGCACTGGAGTCATGAAACCTTCATTTAGTGGAGCGGGCAAATAGTTTGGTGATGGATGAAAGTAATTACTGTACCTACTTAAAGATGATAAATTAACAGGCCAAATCGTTGAAGTGTCAAATGTTTTTTTCTCAGTGTTATAGCTGTCTTCTTACTGAGGGGCTTGGCATTCTTTCCATATAAACCAAAAGTTGCCTGGAACAACAAACATATGCTTCTAGTGCATTTCTTACTACCTCCCACACACATGTGCCTAGTTCAGTAAGAAGTGCCATTCAGTATTTTCACTGAATGTTCTAACCTCAGTTCCAAGAGAATGAAACCTGAAAAAATATTTACTCTAATTGTGAATGATTGGCACCATTTTAGAAGCTCACTGTAAATGCAAATCAAAACTCTTTTATGAAACACATTTTTTAAAAAAAACATAAACCACCCTCCAAGACCTGAATGACCTAGTCACTTCAATTCAGTGTTGCAACTTTTGTCCATTCGGTGCATACAACAGAAATACTTCCTAAGCAAATAAAAAGAAGATTTTCAGTCCAAAATACTCAAACAGCTCTTAAATTATTTTATCCAGAATTGTAACCTATATTCCAAATGAATGGAACCTGAAAAAATATTTACTCCAATTATGCAAAACTGACACATGCTTTTTGGTTGTGCTTAGTAGTTGAATGTAAATGCATATCTGAAAACGTTTCCTCAACCAGATTTTTCTGGTAAACCACATCAGCTCCAATAATTTTGTAAATAAATATAATATGTCAATGTGGGTCAACCAACATTCAAATTTTGTTTCCTTTTATAATAATAAAAAAAGCCATTAACTTGTAAATCATTAATTTCTACAGAGGTACATTACTTCTAATTAGACCTGGTCAAGGCTTTCTGGAAAAACTACACTCAATTGCAACTGCTGACACTATATTCCCTGTAACATCTCTGAAATTAAACAAGAACTTTATTGAAATGTAAAACAGGGTTTCAAATTTGCTTGTTAGATATGCAATAAATTCAGAGGCTTGTTAGATATGCAGTAAATAGTAAATTATTCAATTAATATCAGACTGGCTCCTATTGCGACCAAAAGCTTGTGGATAAACCAGCGTGGCAACGAGCATAAAGAAAAACATATGGAAGGGAGGGCACACTCCTTTTCTCTAGATGAGGATCAAACCCCTAAAGTGACCCTTAAATATGTCAGGCAGTCTATATTCCAGATACAAGGTTAATGGATGCATCAGATCAACCAAAAGATGCCCCAAACAGATCAACACCTTCAGTATTTTGATTCCTTGTGGTTACAGTGTGATGAAAACTTTAATTTGTAGATACTCAGAGCACATCAGTATGTATCTTCTGAACAAGATAATCAGAAAGCTCATCATTTGCTCACAGAGAACTGTGGACAAAGTGAACAGATATTTAGATACTTGCAAGGTCCGGCTTGCCAGTGTAACTCATTCAGCAGTCAGAACAAAGGAAAAGCAGTGCAGCAGTACACAACCACAAGCTGATTGACTCCATCTTCTTGGCAGGGAAAAGAACTTTTTCCCCACATGCCTTATTTTTTATGCTGTAATTCAGTACAAAACCTCACTACAATCAGACACACTTATTCTTCTTAAACAGTATTTTAAGATTTATAACCCCCTCTTGTTTATCATTCTAACTGAAATGGATCTTTAATATAGTCTTTAGTGTCAGATTATGATTTTCTTAAGGTTCCCGAACAAGGAAATATGTGGTCTGTGGTACAAATAAACATGCCCCGTGGTTCCATTTCTCTCCTGCTGGGACAAAATGATTATGCTATCTTTTGTTAGTGTTGGAAGAATTTTAATCACATTTTTGCACCACCTATTTCTATGATGAACCACAAGATATTTTCTAAATAAACAGTCATGAAGGCCACATTCTCTTTTGAACTGGCATTTAGGTATGAGATAAATGGACAGAGTCAGATTTTCTGTAAGATTTGTTGGCAGTGGAATTGTGTAAATTTAATTGCAAGATTTTAATCTTTTAGATTCAATGGAGTTTATGTTGGAATACGCTCCTCCCAACTCTATAAATCAAATGCTTGCCAATCCCATCACAAATGTTCAAATTCTTAAAAATTACATCCATATCAATGTCACAGTAATATAATTTTCAAAAAAGAGTGCATGGTAGTATAAATTATGTGGGCAATAACTTTTAAAGAGATGAAGTTATTTCTTAAAATATTGACAGTATTTTGATTACCATGCTTTTGAGTACATATTTTGATAATTCTACAAAAGACTGCTTCTCAAAGATATAAAAGCTTTGCAAATCTGAATCTCTTCATCATCTGACTGAAACAGTTATTTTTTGATGTTTGGTGATGTATCTGTTAACTTCCTTGTTTCCAAAGCTGCTAAAAGACATTAAGATCAAGGACATATTTGGGAGAAGAAAATGAGCAATAATAAATCAAATGCTCCCACATTTCAATATGGGTTTGGATACTTAGGCAACATGAACAAAAAACTGCCATAAATCTATGCATAATATTTCAATGTAATCTACTGGATTGCTTTAACTAAACACAAGCAGGGCTCATAATTGACACACATAAGTATATGAACCCAAATAAACTAAATCCTTCAGCATCCAAGAGTGAAATGAAGCTGACAAGAATGCTATGTTGATTAGGAGTGATGTAATGGAGGATGAAGGATAATGGTTAAACAAGCTATAACTCAGTATATAAAATTTTGTTACATTTAAATAGGCAGAGGTTAAGCTACAGTATCCCCCTAGCTAACTGAAATTTCTCAGACCAGTGCAATAAATGATTCACAGTATTCAGAACCTGTGTATGAAACCTACCAAACTATTTGATTGTGAACCTCCACCAGATGTGTCATGAACTCTTAATTCGACATAACCACATTTTGCTGTTTTCAGTATTTGTGCTCCTGTGAAAAAATAAACCCATCTAAACTTTCAACATTGTATTTGCCCCGTTGATCGAGAAGCCATTAGCTCCAGGAAAGATCTCAGGAAATGAGCAGAATGATATATCTGAAATTGTCCTACTCAGGCCTTCTGTGAGACCGCTTCTTGGTTTAAAGTACAACATGCCAGCACCACAAAAGACCTTGAGTGCTGAAATAAAGCCAGGAAGAACAGTTTTAATGCATAAAAGAGAAGCCAAAGAACATACAGCAGTCCTGAATTATGCTTCTCAGAAGTCACCTCACTGAGTGGCATATAAATTCTGCACTAATCACAGCTTCCTACAGGCTAGGTAGCCTCAAGCCGAGTTTATGGCAGTAAAGTAGCTGTAGGTGAAAATAGGTCACCAGGAGAATGCTCAGTCCAAATTCTGCAGGAGGAATGTCTGTAATAACAAATGTCCCATCACAACAGAAATATTTGTCAGGAAGCTCTTTAAAACAGCTAATTACAATAGGAAAATATTAAATATTTTAATATTATTAAATACAATAGGAAAAATAAAGAAAGTGTGAGAAAGACTTCATTATTTCTGGACTTTGCACTTATAATCAATGCCATAAGTAAATTGTTTTAATTGAATGCCGCTCTTTAGTATCTCAGCTTTCAACAGACTCAGACAGCAAAAGTGAGAATATATCAGCTGCAGAATAATATTTGTGTTCTTTATGGAGGCCAGCCAAGTTAGGCTGGACAGGATATGAATTCACTAGTTTGGCGAAGAGGCATATATCAAGAATAGCTGTTATGTAAGAGCTGGCTTTATATTTTAGTTCCTTTGATAAATTTGAATTAAGTAAATGGGCTGGAAAGGGCCTTCTGCTTTATTATCCAACCTGCTACAGTAATTGTTAGAAGATATTTAGGGAAAGGATAAATAAACAGTGTAAATGTTTTTCAGGGCCCTGAGGGAACCAACAGGCCTTGATAGCCCAGAGCAGCCTCACCAGGGATGCACACACATACAGTTGGCCAATGAGCCCAGGAGCCCCATTTGGCTCACAGTTAGAACTGTAGGGCTTGACACAATGGATGTGTCATTGATAGTGTTTTAATCACCTTCCTTGACCCTGTTCTTTTTAAAGTAGCTACATACAAAACACCTTAGAATCCTGAAACTATTGGAAAGGCATAAATCTGTTAAAGTGACAAAAAACCCCAAAAACCCCAACAACACTCTACTAAGCATACATAAAGAAATCATTACTAATGTCAAACTTCTAGCAGGCACTACTTGTTACATCAATATGCTTTGCAATATGGAAAAGCTGATAATAAAAAGCTGCCTGATTACAATTGAAGTATGAAGGAAAATATGTGTATTTATATAGTCTTAAGTATAGAATGTTAGGTAGATAAATGCATCTAAGGACATGAACATCAATTTCCAGAGATTGCATCTTAATTGTTTAGTGTGTACCAATCTCTCCAAATGCGAACTCAATGCTTTTCAGTGCATGTTCTCTATTAGATGATCCATGGACAGCATTAGACAAAATATCATGTGCAAACTGAGCTCGAATCGATTGAGGACAGATCTTCTTTGCCTCTTCTGGATCAGCTGGACCCATTAGTTTCCTCCACTCTTCCACAGCATTTTCCTTTGATAAGACCATTATCACTGATGGACCCCTGTAAAATCAGTATAAGAGAGCTCTTTATTCTGAGAAGCAGACTTAGCTTTGGCTTCAGAGGTACCATGAATATTTATGATAAGCATTGCACTATCTGAATTTTGTTAAACTGTTTAAGTATTAATATTTGTTAGTGAGTGTTTTGTTTAAGACAATATTCCATATTTGAAAGCCAAAAAGATTATGATGAGCAGGTATTTAGATCTGGACTTTTTGTCCAAAAATATTCTCACCCAAAAATTTCTGAAGCAAGACAATACATACTGTTTTATCGACAACTATACTAGCAATATTGTGAGAAAGATATTTTGTCCTGCATGGGAAGAACAAGGATTCCATTGGAAAGCAGTTCCTTTTTTGAGAAAAAAATTCCAAAATAATAGTCACTGCACATAAGTTTGGAAAGAATTTTAAATCTTCCTTTTTAAAGTAAGAGCACTCTGTGCTAGAAGCCTCTAAACTTGACAGAAAGAGTGACAGAGTGTAAAATCCTTATACCACTTATGGTGTAGCATGTTTTGTTGACACTGTAAATTCAAAGTGTGATGTCTACTTACATACCTCAGTACTGTAAAAGAAGATACTTACTCAGTCATACAAGACACTAACTGTTCATAAAAGGGTTTTCCTTCATGATCCTTGTAAAACTGTGCAGCCATTTCACGAGTTAAAGCTTCTTCTTTTATCTTTGAGATGCTAAATCCAGCCTCTTTAACTTGTTTCATAATGTCATCTAGGAGAATAACAAACAAGCTCATTTTCGATTGAAATGGTTTAGATGCAAAAAACTCCCAACACACCCAAACTTCAAAAGTTTCAGAAAATACTAGATGTCTTTTTTTAAAAAAGTCACCAGCATCTATTAAAATTCTTGTTACAGTATCAAACACCCATGGACAACATAATAAAGACTTCAACAGTCCTATAAAATGTACAGAAACCATTGTAATCGCATTGTCCATCTTGATGAAGGTGTTAAACCCAGACTGTTATGAACTATACCAATAGCATTCACTGTTCTCACACTGGATAAAACGTGGACTGTAGTTGTTATGCTATATCAAGTACCAGCTGGCCTGCCAGAATCAATCTGGATTGATTGAGGGGAAGAAAGACTCACAAAAGCCAATGATGAATTAGCATTAGAAAGACTATTGAATTTTATTTTAAATAGAATAGAAAAGAATAATGTTCAGAAGAGGCTCTGGATATAGGATTTTTTAAAAGTGGCTTCAAAAATCTTTAAGACAAGATTCCAAATCGTACATGGAGCTCTTTTTACTTTTTACTTTGATGTTTCCTCCGTATTCCCCTTTTCTAATGGCAAGTTAAACCAAGAATAGGAATGAATCTAACTGAGCAATGACCCCTTTTGAGTCAGTAGAAATACCTGTCTGAAGTAAGTAACATAACTTTGGAAAGTCTCTCTCCTTTGACTTAAAAGGATGCTAGGCAGCTAGCCTTTCAACAGTTTAACTTATCTAAGAACTCTCTTTCTCCAATTCACCATTATTCTTGTGAAGAAAGACCTATAGGCAGCTTAAGCAAAGGAACTTTCACATTTGAGATCTCGACCTGAATCATGCAAGCCCTGTAAAATTATTTCTCTGCACAGAAAATACATTTCAGAGAGTCAAAAGAATGCATTTGATGTGATTTACTGCAGCGTACGGTGCTAATATTTTGTAGAAATGTCTGCATCAGTAGACATAGCCCATACTTTCTAAATGACTTACCTTTATGAGTCTTAACAGCCTCAGGTTTGATTAACGCAAAAGTTTGTTCCTGAGGGAAGAAAAACTCTAATTCCTTCTGAGCGTCATCAGGTGTAGAACTGCCGTGCAGCTGATTAATAGGTACGTTGTCGACTGCATATTGTGCACGCAAACTAGGAGTCATTAAAAGAGTGAAGTTACTTAAAGGAATAGCTATGAATTGAGCAATGAATTATAATTAGCTTTGAGTGAATGAATATAAATATATACATTATTTAATTATATTATATTATTATATATTGTAATATATAAATTAGTGTTGATCTGACAATCTGAAATCTGAACGCCTTCCCCCCAACTCTCATCTTGTTATATTTCCAAGAAATACCAATTCTTTCTTAATGAGACAGCACTTCTATCAGCAACAGGTAAGATGATACCACAGCACTTTCTTAGAACAATATGATAAATAGGTAGAACTAAGATGTCCGTCTATAAAATGTGTAGGACAAACTTAAGTCAGAAATAAAATACTCTACTGATGCAAAACTTTCATTAAGCCAAGAGAAAAATCATTTGTTCCAAAAAATAATGGTATTTCAAGAAAAAAAAACACTATAAAGAATAGGTTTTACCAACATTTTTTCTCTGATTCAAGAGATCCCCTTTCACTTCAATACCCTTTTTTAAACTCAACTTTTTATTATTCTTACCATCCATTATTTCTCAAAAGATGCCATAGTTTCTATGTGTAATACAGTCCTACTTCCAAGAAAAGCTTAACAAATTGCAGAAATGCATATCAGTTTCCAGATGATGGCACTATAGTTACACCAGCTGGAATGTTGTATTCATTGAGATGAGAAATATGAAAGTAAATTGGAAGCTGTGAATGATGTTTTACTATTGTGGCTTATACCTGTCTGGATTTTCTTTGCAAGCCTCTTCAAGGGTCTTTGGGCCCAGTAAACTTCTCCAGTGTGATACAGCGTTTTCACGTGTTAGAGCCAATACAAGAGTTGGACCACTTTAAAATGGGAAAACTAACATTAAAAAAAAATTAAACTCCCAGTACTTTTCAAAGTAATTTGATTACATATAGTCCAGGCTAGGAAAATGAGCCCTAGTATTAGAGGACTTTAAAACTGATCTCTGTTTAAACAACTACAGTCTGATAAAACCTTACGAGGCTTAAACATGAATTTAAATTGCAAAGGAACTGAGTTTTATCACAACAGCAAGATGCAGAAACACTGCTCATGCCCCAGCCATATCCTAACTTCATATGAATGGAATATCCAGACATGATTCATTTCTCCTCCCCAAGGTATCCAACACACAACCTGGTTAAAGATTTCAGAGCTCGCCTCTAGACAACCTAAATGCAGCCTTTCAGAGCAGAGCTAAACTGGTTTCACCCAAACCAATGGACTTGGCTGCTGACTTTGACATCATATATATGAAGTTATGGAGTAGCTGGCAATTTTTGAAAGCCTCATTTTTTTTATTTATTTGTTATACCTGGGAATTATCTCATTATCTGCAGTTATCTGATCCTGTTTTGACTTTTACTAAACCTTTACATACATGTCTATCTTATAGCCATGTATTATCCAGGAAGTGTTCAAGGGCAATTTGGATGGGACTCTGAGAAACCTGGTCTAGTAGAAGGTGTCCCTGCTCATGGCAGGAGGTTGGAGCTAGATAACTTTAAAGGTCCTTTCCAACCTGAGCCATTTTCTGATTCTGTGATTCTACAATTATTAATTGTGAAAATTTCAGTCTTATCTGTAGATCCACATGCTCATTTTTCATTCAATATACCTGGTCATTTGCTCTAGAAGGACTGGGAAGTAGTCTTCATTTACATGCTCACTGTAAAATGTACGCACTTGTTCTTCAGATAGGATTATTTCTTTCTGCATTGCTATTTTGAAGCCATCGTCCTTTATCCTTTGTATGATAGAATCTGTTAAATATATTGAAATAATGATAAAGGGCCATCCATGCATTACTTCGCACACTTGCAGAGAAATGACACGGACTTTTCAATGATAATGTTACATTTTTACAGGTGAATTAATTTCCTAACTAAAGAACAGAAAACTAATATAAAGCAAATGTTATTGCGCTCCAGGAATTGCCCGAACACTCAGAAAGCTGATCCTCATCTTCTTAAGGTTTTCTCTTACTTCCGAAACCTCATTAGGAATTACTGACTGAGGAATATGATATACATTACTATGACCAAAAGAAGGTCTAAGGAACTTGAATAGGTGAATGTTTATTTAACTAAGCCTTACAAGACCACATGGGTAAGTAAGCAGTATTTGGCACAAGTCAAAATAACTCTGTAATTACCTACAGACGATGTAATTACCTGCAGAACTGCTGCTCTAAGCAACATACTAGACAACCATCAAGAATATAAATACCCAAGGAAAGATCAAAATTGTAGTCTTTCAGATCCTGTGTATAGGTTATTTCAAGTACAGAGATTCTCAAGTTAGAAATAAGTGTTATCTGAAATCTAGGAAGAAATGCAAATATATGATTGAAAAGTAAACTTGTTTGGATGAAGGTTCATGTTAATGGGGTAGATTTTTTTATTTAATCTGTAAAAATGTTTTCTGTTTAGACCTGCCCTTGAGCAACACCACATTATGCAACATAGAATAACTTAGATTGGATCTTTTTCACCTTGCCATTGATTTATCTTGGAGCTGCCATTCAAGAATATCAGCTACTTTATTATGGTGGGAAATATGGTCCCCTCTACAACATTTGAAAATACTAGCTTATTTGAGATGTCTTCTACAAATATTCCATTCAAATATACAATCTACAGACTTTCTTGAAAAATCAGCCAAGGGAACAAAATAGCATTGACATTTACATCCTCAATATATGAAAAACATTAACCATATAACTTCATTCCAGACAAAAATTTCTGTTGGCCTAATTCTGGGGAGACAATATAACCTAAAAACATTTCATTAATCGAGTTAAAATTTTTAATTCAAAATTCAAAATATGAGACTATTTATATACCCTAGATACAAAATACAGTTATTAACACTTACCTCGTCTTTCCTTTAAGAGAGTAGGTCTAATTATGGCCAAAGTCTTTTCAGCTTGTTGTTCCGTTTGATGTATATGAAAATTTGGGAAAAAGAAGCCAAGTTGTCTGCTGGCATCTTCGATACTGTCTTGCACGTCACATAGATTTACTAGACTCTCAGCTTCCACGAGTGCTAGCCCACTAATGAAACATGAAGTAATACAGTTTTTAAGTCACTGCATGCGTAGTGTTAATAAGCTGGCTTCTTGAAGTTGTATTTGTATGTTAAAATTTAGTGAAACATAAGAATAGAATGCAAAACTAAGCTTTCATTAAATTCAGATTCATGAGCAAAATAATGTTTCTGAGAAGACAATTACTAATTTTCTCAAAAACTGCCTCATGTGCCTCAAGTGCTCTGAAAGAGAAATCTCAGTCACATAGCTTTAGTAATTTCCCTCTAGCTTATTCAAGAAAGTCCCTCTGTTTCATGAGAAAGAATTACTACTGGCAAGGATACAGTGTATAATAAATGATCAATAAAAGGCTTGTGCTTTATTTGTGTACAGCATGATCATAAAAATGATAGCAATACAGAATTGTCTGTAACAGATACTTCTCATTGTTACTTACCTGTATGTCTAAGGTTTAAATAGCTATGTAAATAAAGTCCCTCTTGGCCACTTACATAAAATGCAGTATTCCTCAGTTGTACTAAATTAATGCAGAAAGAGATACAGCAGTCATCAACAAAAATATCAATCATTATGATAAATTATTTCTTGGACAAAGTATTTAAGTTCCTGTTACTTTAAGTAAGTCTCTTGTCTAAATGTAAAACTTGATTTGATATTTGAATTTTTGTGAACACTCTGTTGTCTGAAGCCGTGTATACAACTATCATCCTCTTTCTCTACAAACTCTCGGTACAGAAGAAAAACAGACATTTCAAGATACCATGGTTGTGAACAATTAATCCTTACAATGTTTTATGTGTCATGGAGCAGAGTGGGGACACAAACCCCGGTACCCTACCCCTTCTCTGATGGCTTTTGCAATGTTCACAGGGAGAACAACATGCCTTAGGTGTCCCCTGGTCTCCTCTGAGCCACATATACAGCTTCCCAGGATACAAAGGAGTGAACATGGGCAGAAGTGCAACCTTCAGTCGGCAGTGCTGGCAGTCACTTGGTCTGGGTGAATGAATATGAAGTAGAATTGCATGGACTACATCATTTTTGAAGTGTAGCATTGCTCCCACTGGTCTGAGAATCCATTCAAGGCTAGTTCAAAGAGATCGAAGACATTTTCTTGTCATCTTTAACTAGGAAGTATGGAGTTTCTGAAATTGCATCTCTAGTGGTGGTCCTGTGAAGGACCAGGTGAAGAACTCTGCCTACTCCCTGAACCCTTCGCACACGGGCACATCTGCATCTGAAGAACATGCCTTGATTTGTGGTGTGCTCTGGACACTGTAACTGAATCACATATACACATTTTCACTGTTAGTTACCTCTCTGACTCAGACGTATCAGACATACTGTCATGTGTTTCATGTAGTTCTTTCCAGTGAGGAATGGCAGCAGTGTCTTTTTTTTTAGTGAATACCAAAACGTGGCATGGTCCACTCATCATGAATTGAACAAATTCTTCAAAGTCAGGCTAAAAAACATAATTTTCCATCATGAATTGCAGGAACTCTGAGTTTATAGTCAGAAATGAGACAATCATCCTTTCAAAGTAACTCATAAATTCCTATTCAAAACTGGTATTCACATACATTAGTCAGAACCCGGTTAGATTGTTTGTGAAGTTTTTTCATCAATCATTTGAGACAACATTATCAGATGTCTAAAACAAAATTAATTGAGATAAAGGAAGTCCTGGAACTACTTTAAGCAAGTACTATGTTGTTACAGGTTAAAATGTGAATAACAAGAGTGAAGAAAATTTTTTGTGAACTAAATCTACATTAATTCAGTTTTTTGACATACTAAAAAATTACAGTACAGAGATTTGCAACCACATCTAGTTACAGTGATATGTTTTACCCTCTCCTTTCATTTAAGTTTTTAGTTTGCTTTTACCTGGTCTTTATTCCGGGCATAGAACACTCTGATTTGCTCTTCAGTTAGCACTTTCTCCTCTGCTGCTTTAATGGTAAATCCTGCATCTTTAATCTGCAATTATTCAGTTATTACTCAGTGGCATTTGAAAATGGGTATATACAAAATGTATGTTATTGTAAATCTAAAGATTGATTTTGAAAGTTATCTTAAGTTTAAAATTCCCTGAAATTCAAAATATATTGCTGTTGTATTCAAAATATAATGGCTATCTTTGCCTAAACTGAACTTCCAGCCTTTCAAAGCACTTCACTAAATTCAGCATTACAATACTCATAAATTAATGTTTTTGAAAATTATAGTGCAGTTCAATGTATGGAGTACATTCATTCAGTAGTTAATAATCCCTTTTATTTCACACCGAATAAACTCTTTTTGTCCATTGTGACTGGTTAATATGCAAATACTTCTAAAAATTTTATTATAAACTCTGTTATAATCAAGGTAGTCATGTAGATGTGCACTTGTGATCAATTTGTATCAGGCTAAACTACTTGGCTTCAGAAAGAGCAAATAAAGAAAAATTAAATCTAGCTCTTTTAAGCTACATTACTGCACTAAATTCAAGTATATGTAAGTGATATATGCTTATATGACCTGTGTCAAATTCATAGTCCACTGGTATGAGGTTTATACCATATACTGATATTTTAATAACAAAGGCATTGTCCAGCCCCAATACTGATCATATGCTAATATTAATCTGCTTACTGGCACTCTGCTCTTTAAAAGCCCCTATGATGCTGCAGAGTGTTTCCAGACTGCCTCGACAAGACTGACTGTGGAAACAGCATAGGTGCACACCTCATAAGCCAAGTAACAGCTCTTCAGCCCCAGCTAAATAATTTTCAAGCACTGCCTGTTTTCTGGGGGGTATTTTGGATTTTTTCTGACCTTATTTTCTGGCTACAGTAGAGTAATTGCAGAAACAAACTATATAGCACTCTGATTTCCTTTCATTCAAAGGTCACTTTTTAAAATTTGTATGAGTTTATCTTAATATGCAGTGTTATAAGGCATTTTTTTGGTAACAGAATCAGTGTGAGTCAATATTTTGCCTCATCTACTGGCATAAAATATTAAAATAATAGTATAAATTTGAATACCATATTATTTCAGGTCAAAATTATTGTCCTTTTATCATCCTTACCAGAGAAACATTAACAGATCTTGTTCTAAAGCCTGGGCATAAATTAGGATCTACTTAGTCTTACATCTTGCTACTATGCCTCTTAAACAAATAGGATGAATTAATATTTTAAAATTCTGTCTACCTTTTTTTTAATTTCTTCTACACGTCCCTCTAGGACGTCATTAGGTTTTATAATTCCAACAGAATATCTGAGTATTTCTTCTTCTAGAAAAGGGAAAAAAGAGTAATATGTTAATTAATACATTCATCAAAATAAATACACAACAAAATGCTTCATTACTTACAAGGGGGTTTCTCTAAATAATTCTCCCTTTTAATATTGAGATGGCCAAACAGTGTTTCCAAAAATTGACTCCAGCACTTAAAGCATGTCTTGGAGTGCAGGGCCACCCTTGGCTATCCCTGGAATTCATATTCCTGATGAACCACATTTTTGTGGGGTTAATATTGGGGAGAAATGGTTCACATGCAGGTAGCTATGGTGAAAAAATTTCAGCTTAAGATGGACGCTTTGTCTAGGGAGTTCTGTATGTACAAGAGTAGAAATGTGAAAGGAATTACTATTACTAAGGAAATTCACTAAGTGAAAATCTGTACAAATATTGGAGATTCCCCGTAAAATATACAATTCTTGTCATAGAATATGTTTGATTCCTTGGCATTGTGAATGCTGAAGTAATTTGCAATTAATAAGTGTTGGTCACACATTCTTGCTAGTACAATCTAATGTTTAAAATAAGGTGTTCCTTGCTGTAACAGTACAGACAGACTGTTGCAACATCCATAGCATACAGATCCTTGAAAATGATCAGAAGGGAATATACACTGCATCATCTTTGCAGAACCTTAAACATTAGAATGTACCTCAATCCCATTCTGAACACTGTAGAAGAACTTAATGATAGTGCTAATGGAAATAGCAGCTAATGGAAACTGCTACTTGTTTCCAGTACTAGAAAACACTTATAGGCACATGCATGTGTTAATGAAAATGTTACCCCAATATAATATGTTAATATATTACAGTTTCTGAGAGATCCCCTGACTTGAAGCTGAACCTGAGCTGAAAGCTCTGTTCTCTGATTTTGTATCACATTTAGGTTTTGTGGATTAGTGTGAAGCTTGTAGATACTTGCTAAATGATAATACTGTACTCCTAGGTCTCTCAGGGTTTATGAGGAAGAATATTGGCTAAAGCTAAGATCAGGGATATGTCACTTGAACCATACAATAAAGAAGGCATGAAGAGGAAGGAGAAGGGACACATCTCAATCCACGTCTGTAATCTAATGCCTTCTCACAGGAAAAAAAAAACACAACCAAGATCAAGAAAGAGATGAGGGAGGGGTTTATTCCAGCTCAACATTGAAGAATGGCATTCTGTGCATATATGAAGGTGTAGGAACATTCAGTAGCCACAGATAACAATTAAACTAGAAAAGATTTAGGTCTCAGCTCATGAGAAGCCTGAGATAAATCACAGACAGGGGACTTGCAAACAGGATGGTGCTTTTTTTTCATTTGTTTTGGAAGCTTATCATGCTATACTGTGGATTTTTGCTCTTACATAAGTCTGCTCTTAAATCTAGTCTGGTGAAAGAGTTAATTGAAATAATTTGAGATACAAGGCATGCCATTGCTTCAAAGATTAACTCTTTCAATCCTCTCACGTTAACCCCATCATAGTATTCCACCTCAACAAAAGTACATAGCCAACACAGGGACTGTGTAGAAGTGACTTTCAGGCCCTAATTTTACATGGAAAAGTTCCCTGGCACGTATCACTTCTATCTAAAGTCTGAAGGTTCCCAGTGGGAGGGTGAAAATATCAATGATGACAGTCCAATGTATTAATTCCTTACTGAAAAAAGTTGAATCATAGTGTCTCATATTATTAACTCAACCAAAGGAAGGTCTATTAGTGCTTGACACAGACAATTCTTAATCAAAAGACATTTGTTCTCTTTCTTCCTCTTAACATTTCTAAAATAAATCAAATATATTTACCGTCCTCTGCAGTCTCCTCAATAGTCTCTTCTGATGATTCTTCTTCTAGAAAAACAAGTTCAACTACCTAAGGTAATTACAAATAGAGCAAAAGTACGCCACCATTAAAAGGTAAAGTCACCAAACACAGCTGTCAGATCTTTACAACACTTCTATCTTAATTTAAGAATGGATTTTCTACTGTGGAAAACAAGCAAGTCTAAGAAAGACCTTAGGTCAGTCTGATTTTCCTTGAGCTGGAGTTTGTTAAGAGTCTCTTTTTACTGTAAGTGGAGTTTTTTGATCTTTTTCACTCAAAACAAGCAATGAGACATAACTCTTTCTCATGTCTGTTTCATATGATGCAGTTACTAGTTATATATTAAAAATATTCATCCCTGAAAGAAAAAAAGATTACTGAAACCTCTATGTGCTAGTGACATTTTGTCCATTTCTCAATTTCTTGCATTAATAGGCTAATCTGTAAATTTCTTAAGTTTTTAAGCCATAATGGATATTTGTTTTTTTCTGGAGAGAATATCCAGCAAGGGAGGATTAATTCTGCTATTACTATAAATTCCGACTGTAGAGTTGTTTGCAGTGTAGGCTATTGAAGTCAGACTAAGCTGTCCTTATGTCCTCATGTCATCTGGAAGTCAGGAGTGAAAGGTGATGGAATAAACTTGTTGAAAGTCCTTTGGCTTTTGTAGCAAACTGGATTCTTTAAGTACAGAGCAGTCCCCACAGTTTTGAACAACCCGATCTAGTGAAAGTGTCACCGCCTGTGATCTTAAGGAGTCTCTTGGAACGCAGATAATTTTATGAAATTTCTGCAAAAAAAGCCTGTCACATATATCACTTTACTGTTAAGACAGAAATACAAAAAATTAAACATTACTTAAAACACTATCACACAAATATATGTAAGTATCTGGTTTGTGAGTACCTCGGTGCGTTCCTTCTCTCCAGCTGCAATTTGCCTCTCTTCTTCCACTAGATCTGTTACTTTCTTAATTATAAGAGGAGCATTTACACCTCTCACTATATCAATAATTTTACCATTCTGTAAAAGAGAAAATAACACTTACAGTGAGTTTTCATCTCTTAGTTTACACATTTACTTCAGCTTTTGAAACGTTATATCTTGTTAATTTTTCCAGCTACAGGACTACTTCTTATGCCCATGAAGGAATACCAAAGCTACTATTGTCTCTATTAGTTCAGAATTAACCTGCTTTTAATTCCCTACTTCTTTCTCTACCTAATTTTCCACGGTTTTTTTCAAGGCTCACCATTAACAGTACAGTTGGAAGCAAATGCAAATATGGATTCTACTTGCTTGTAATTTGTATAACATGGAGTTTTCTGTCTTCTTTTTTTTTTTTTTTTGCATTAGATTCCAGAGCGTGTTCTACCATGTTTAGGTGTGCAATAATGAAGCTAACTAGTGGAGACCAAAGATACTACTAACTTCTCTAGGCAGCATTCAGATTCAGACCTGAAAGTGTCCTGAAAGTATCGTTGTTTGTGGTCCCTAGTTATGGGAATTCAAATCCTGACACCCTAAAGTGAAAAAAACCCACCACTTCCTAAGTGAGCAGTATTCCATGGTGGTATCCTAGGACAACAGTCTATCTGTGTCCATCAGTGAGAAATCATAAATATATGATTAATTGCTGCAGTTCTGCAAGTGTTACAAACACATTTTTATTTGTTATCTTAAAAACTTTATAGCAACAGGAATTGTAAATTCTATTTCCCTGATGGAAAATGTGCATAAAATAATCATCTCCAGTGTAACCACATGTAGGCACTTTATGTGATGCAAACCTGGAAAACTTACATGGATTTCTCACTAAGTAACTACCAAAACAGTGTCTTCCATAGCTCTTCTGTGGCTGTATGTGCAACAACCACAACAAAAATGTGCTCAAGAGCCACCAGATTTGGGAATGGGAGACAGCTCAAGTAAACAATATCTGATGGTTCCATTCTACATACTGTAAAATGTAAAGAGAGAATTTATACTTCTTCACATCTATTTTAAAATCTTGAAAAGTTAAGGCAAAAGTAGGCAGCACATTAAAAGAAACTGATGTGATGTACTTACAACACAAAAAAGAAACACAGGTTCACAGTTTTTTCGAAATGGTTTCAGAGTTTCAATGCTGTCAGCCTCTGCCTGAAGTCAGACAAAAAAGATTATTTGCTTACAAAAGTGTGTATGCATATATATATATATATATACATACAGATAGATAGATATGTGTAAACCTTTTTGCCCCCCAAAAAAACCCCATTCCTACATGCTTTGGTGTTACAAACTCAAACTGCAGTCCTAAATACAAGTAACAGTCCTTATGGTGATGAAGAAAGAACTGTTTTGGTAACATGGGATTGTCTTCTCAATATTACAGCAATCAATCATGGAATAATGTCTTCTCTTGATACTATTTTCTCATGTAGGTTATAATAACATACATAAAGGAAGAAGTATATATATACTACTAGTGTAAATAGGTATTTTTACTACTATAGTTCAGTGATAATTTATTTTTATTTTCCCCCTTTTTTGTTCTCTTAAAAATGAAATACAAGGGAATATTTGAGATAAAAAATGCAACAGTTTTTCAGGGACACAAGAATTTTAAATGTGATAATCCATAATATAAAACTAAAAATCATATAGGTTGGCTTTTGAATATTTCTGCAATCTCATCAAGAAAAACAAAAGTTTTGGGATATCATCTTCATTTTATTATAACTTCTTACATATTTATTCCATTTTTAATCTACTTCTAGACAAAGTCATATGAGGAGACCTGCAGAAGAAGAGGCAAGCAGGCCAAAATTATGACAACTCATCATAAAGACAGTAAAATGAAAGCTCTGTATATGCAGATAAGAAGATATATTTAAATTAAAATGTTAATAAAGTCCCACACAAAATTTGCATCCTTACCACTGCAAAATGTAACACATTGTCTTCACTAAAATCATTCTTCAGTTTTCTCAATACATTCATCACAGCTTTGCAAGGACCACACCAAGCTTGATACACATCTATTACTAAAATGTAATAGTTTGGAATTACAAACAGTTGACTTGTGGAACTTATGAGACACATTTATGTTTAGATTGCAACAGCACTGGGGAGGCATTTTTGTGTATCTTTAAGTCCTCTTCAAGTCAATGAATGCATCATGAATAAGTCAAGGTACTCAGTGGATACATTAGGGTTTCCTCTTTTATTTCAATTACTTTTGACATAGAAAACTTACTTTTGAGACTATTTGAGATTATTAATTTGAACAACATCTTTTGTCTCACATTCCTTTTCCTTTTAATTGCTCTTTTTATTTTCTCACTGTTGCTTTTCATTCTTATCTAGGTCTTTTTTCTGCAAGACTTTTACCTCCCTGACCTGTGCAGATCATTTCTTTCCCATTACTAACCCTCTGTAGATATGATCCTATTACATATTTGTTCCTCCTACCCAAATACAATTCCTAGGAGACATTGGTTAATTTAGTCTGTGCAAAATTTTAGGGAAAAACTTCCATGAAAGTTTCCAACCCCCTATCATAGACAATACCATACTGGAAATGATTCTTTGATATACATTTATAAATATATATTCATAGAACCTTTCTTTAAAAGATAATAGGGCACTAGTCATCTTGGTTCATTATGAGTATCTATTAAAGGTGATATATAAGTATGAAAAACTGTACATATTTCCATGAGAGACTAAACAGAAAATAGCAACTGTTAGTACCTACTATACCATTCGTCTGCAGCATTTCATCCCACTGGTCTTGATTGGTTATTATGATCTGAAATAAAATTAACTGATATTTTAGCATCTTAAAATGGAGAAAGAACATATCTTCCTTTCTCAAATAGTTTAAGCAATTAAGATTTATACCTGGAGTGGGACTTCTTTCTTCTTGCTTGCCATTTCCCTGTAATTATGGGAAACATTAAAATATGAAGCACATTTAACAGTTTTTTAAAAAACTGTGTGACGTGCAGAACTGATTTATATGGTTTTCAGAACATCACTGCCTTCTGATTCCCCTAGAATTAACTCAACTGAAGCTCCTACAGCAATGGCAGTTAATACCCCAGGTGGGAATTCTGTGGAGCAATATACAACTTGTTTGCCAAGAACAAGAAACAGAACAAAATTTACTTTCTTAATTTCCTAGGGTGTTCAAAACTTTTGGCCTCAACAGTTTTCAAGCTTATAATTCTTTAGAGTAGCTACAGGGACCTTGATGGGATGACAGCTGCTGTAACACTGGACCATTTCAGAAAAATATTGATTAAAGAGCTTCCACTCTGATAACATCAAATCAACCCTCCTGTCTGCTGGGATACATGGAAAGCAATGACATACTTGTGCCCCATAACTAATCTCCCAAACTAAATCCTGATACATTCATTATTCTGTCATTAATAAACAATGTCCATCTTTTTTCTTTTCTTTTTTTTTTTTTTTTTTCAGTAGATAATTAACTGTGAACTGGGCAGGACAACAATTTCAGTTAAGATACATATGTGGATTAAGTTTGACTTCTGTTTCCAAATGAAGCTTGACTGAACAATAAATGTTATCACTGCATCAGGAGCCTGAGTTTCCCAAGTTCTTGGTTAAGATGGGGGGCTTCATCTTGGGTAAAATGAAAGTGCCACCATGAATGTGACCTCCACTGGCACTGTTATCTGACAAGTCAACAAGCAAATATGTCCAGAGTTTGAACTATCCTGATATTCCCATCAAAGCTGTTCCCTTCAGATCACAGACTGAGGCATAGTGGTCAATGTGAGAACTCTAATCTAAACACTGATCTAAAAATATTTTTAAGAAATAAACTTTAAAGGCAGGCTTTCTTCAAATCCCTTAACCCGGGTAGTGAGACAGAGCATGGCATTAATTTCTGTCTTTTAAAGACTGAGGAGATGATACTACTGTTGAATCTAGAGGAAACTAACAGATGGAAATATGGCATATTAGTAGGAAATCTTTAGCAAAAGAACATGTCTTTGTGTTACCTTCTGTCACTGAGCAATGACAATCAAAGTGTTGCAAGGCTAGATCTGCAAAACATAAACCACACATGTGATAATGGCCTATACATCCCAATGGTCCTACACACGCTCCCCAACTAAAAATATGCAGTCATACAGGCTCAGGTGACAAACAAAAGCACTGCAGAACAGACACTTGCTGTTGTATGCAAATATAGAGATACACATTAGTATGGAATAGTAGCTGTGTGAGACGGACATGTGAAGATACACATGACATCTATACTTTTAAATATAATTTTCACATACCATTCTCTCAGTAATGCAGTCAGTATTATACTGATAAAATCTGAACAGGCCAGCATATTTTCTCCATTATCTATGTTATGGACAAGATGCTTCTCTAGCCTTGATACAAGGCATTTTGCTATCCGTACTTCATCATGGATATGCAAATGCTACACCTCTGACTACACATTTTACAACCAAGACTGCTTCCTTGAACTAGTCAGATATAAAAACAGACCTGGGTGCACATCCGGATGCAGTGTCAAACTGCACAGTCTTTGCAGACAGACATTCTATATCTCAGTACAAACTCTCATTGACATATATACATAGAAGATGTACATGTGAAGATACTCAAGAGCTTGTGAGATTTTAACATGCACCTGTGTGTAAATACATGCATACAGACATATAGTTCCCTGTGCATAAGTTCTTGTGTATGACAGTGGATCCTTGTGTGTTCCTAGATAGCAGTCTGATGGACCATCTGCTCCCTACCCTTGAATTCTATGAAACTGAATTAAATACAAGAAATCATGGATGGAAAACACTCACTGAGGTACACTGCAGCTTGCACATGCATGCCTGTATGCTTTCACAAGTGCATGCAGAGACTCATCCTTCTGCAGGCACCCAAACATGCCAACACACACCTCCACTACACATGTGGACACACATCCGTGCAGGCCCTCTCCACGAGCAGGCCTGGGTGAGCCCTGGGTGAACCCGCATGCATGCAGGTATAAGACCCCTTCCTGCATGCACACACACACACACAGAGAAACATATATAAGTGAGAAAACGCACAGGCACACACCAGTTCAGGGGCGACAGTATCTACTCAGGGTGCCGTACATAACCTGGAGGAGCGCCCAGGTGCTCGTGCACCCAGTGGTTTGACACGCACTCTCCATGACAAGCACACCATCGCACATCGGCTTGGGTGCCACTCACCCCTGAGGTGGGTGCCCACCCAGGAGCAGACAGGCAGCGCCAGCCCCCTGCCCACCTGCCCACCTTGTCCCTGCCTTGGAGCAGCCGCTCACCTGGGGACTCTCCCGCAGCTGCACAACTGTCACCCCCCAACGGCTCTAACAGCCTCTCCTGTCCTTTAGCCTGCCCCAGCCACCCTCTCTGCTCAATCTCCAAGGGTTATTTTTCCCCCACCACCTTATTTTGTGAGTCTGCCGCTGACAGGGCACAAGGAGCTGAGCTGCAGGCGTGCAGAGAGAGAAATGAGGAGGGAGTTGGGGAGTGCAGGGGTCGGAGGAAGAGTCACCATTTCCTTCAGTGTTTCTCCTCTGTTTCTTTTACCCTAGGCAGAGTCCAAACTTACCCTTTTAAAGTAAGAAAATCAGTCTTGGCACCTAATTAGCAATCTGCCTTCACTCTGTGTTACTTGCAAATTATGAGATAATGAGGACTAAAAGGGGAAATTTTTTTGTGGATGTCATGATGACCAAAGGAGGGTCTTGAAAGCCAAACAGTGGTGACTGCTAATGCTCACACACTATCATTGCAGGTCTGTGACCACACCAGTTCAGAACAGAGTTATCGTTTTTCAGATGCATGCTTACATCTCAGCAGGCCCAAAAATTAACAGAAAATAAAGGTGAAGTTCATTTATACACATAGAAATCACAGTTGGTCCAGAGTACAGTGTGGCGGTTTTTATGTATAAATTCTTAAAGGCATCGCAGCTGGTGAGAATTTCTTTATGGAGGTATAGGTTTGAGAATGTTCACAAGTCAAATATAGGTGTCTCTAAACAGCAGACATTGCACATATGTGTGTTGTTCCTGAGTCAGAAATCATCCGTGCATCCAATTTACTTTTGAAACCCTGCCGAGGCATACTACGTGCTGTTACGTATATCTACCGCATCTTAAGAAAATCTAGTTTCAGTGACTTTCTTGTTACTTTTCTTAAGGTTTCTGGCACTGCTCACCAAGGTTACCTTTATTTCCTGAAACTAGCATGAAGAAAAAAGTAGAGTAAAATCTTGTAGAGGTACTAGAATAGATGTTCTTCCTCACAGTTAAATTTTCCTGAGTTGAAGGATGTTCATTCTGCTGCAGTGGGAATGAGGCAACATTTCCACAGAGCTACAGCAGTTTTCAGTGCTGAGATTATGCTATGCCCTAACAGTTTGGATTAAATCAATTAGGTGGCAAGACAGACTTTGCATTCAGGTTGGAAATAATGCATTTATATAGCCAATGCTAAATTACTTCCTACATTTTTTTTACTGGAAAACCCTAGCTTTGGACTTAGTACAAACTCTGCATTGGCCTGCTTGGAAGAGGAGGAGTGCCCTTGAATAACTTTTATTTTCCTGCATGAGGTAGGAAAACAACTTCTGAGACCTTCATAGGCATACAAAATTAAGCAGATCTACAAAAGATGAGATATTTAACCCAACTACCGTCTGGAAGTTGAAGTCCCAAAGTACAGGCTATGTTTTTTGAGGTTTCCTTCACAAACTGCTAACTTCTTTATCCAGACCACTTTCTTCATGAGCAACCACTTTTTTATATATTAGGGAAAAAAAGTCTTGAAGAGAAACACTAGAATGAGGTAATGCTCATGTACCAAGTGTTAAAAGGCTGACGCAGCCTGTTCTTTAACTGCTGGGGAGGGGAGGAGGGAGGACATGGAAAAAAGGAGGGGTGGGAGAAAGGTGTTTTTAAGATTATTTTACTTCTCACTCTTTTGCTCTGACCCTGTTAGTAATAAATTCTGTAAATATCGCCACTTTCAGTCTGTTTTGCTCGTGATGGTGATAAGTAAGTGACCTCTCCCAGCTCTTATATCAATTCCTGAATCCTTTGCTGCTTTTTTCTCTCCTCTGTCCAGTTGCAGAGGGGAGTGAAAGGGTAGCTGTAGTGGGTACCTGGCATCCAGCCAGGAACAGCCCACTACAATGTTATTGGCTTTCTTTTTCTGCATCAGCCATAAGTAGACCATGGATCTGATAGCAGTGGAAGAACTTTCGGATCTTTTGTACTTTTCTGAAAAACAGAAAGAAAGTATGTAAAATGGTAGAAAATTTCATTTCTTGAAATCAAAAATAACTGTTATGGTTTAGAAAGTGCCAAATCGAAGAAAGTGATTCATACTGCTACAGGTGCAGATCTGTGTCACACAGACTGTTGCTGGTGGGATAATTCTATGCAGTATAACTGATTTGATAAAAAAAGAAACAGCACAAAATAAATAAACAATTTTCTGTAAGGGCTTATTGTGACACACCAGCTTGTGTGCTCTCGAAGTGAGACATCAGATGACTCCAAAACCAGGCAGTTAGCTTCTGGGTGGCAGTCTGAGTCTACTACAGGTTACATTTGTGGAGGTTTGAGGGGCAATTTTTTGCCCATAATGGTGATTAACTTAGTTGAATTGACAGCTTGCTTTCAGAGAATGACCTACCACCTGGCAGTCGTAGGTACATTCCCCTAATATGCCCTGAAGACAACATGAGTGGTAACCCTAAAAGGGTTAAAAATCCTAAAGGAAGTTACTGAAATTACTAATACATAAACCTTTGCACAATTTGTACCATAAGAGTCTTATGCATGTTAACATGGAACATATAGAAAATGTATAGATGCAAAAGAACTGAGATAATTTAGTGATTTAGAAGTCTTTATAAATATGGACATTAATCCTTCCAAATAATATGGTTATCACCTCTGGGACTTGGTTTCCTAGAGCAAGAAAAATCAGGGATGTCTGCTGGGTACATCCTTTCTAGCTATGATATATGCCCACCTGTTGTAGATGACGGGATAAGAACACATGACCACAGAATTGATCATAACTTATCCGACTTTATTGCTGCGTGCTTTGTGCTTATAAAGGTTACAAATTGGCTTCATACATATTACAAAAGCTAAGCTCATCATTGGCTTCTAATTACCTAAGTTTTATTTGCGCAAATGCTGATTCTTTAACCTTCTTATGGTTACTTGTTTGCTATTTGCTCAGCTTTCCCATCCGCTATATTCTTTTCTTGTCACGTACCCAGTTTCTCAAACACTGTGACCTTCTAATAGTTTTCTCTTACCGTGGGACCAGAGCTATAGCATCTCTCTCATGTCCCCTTTCTATCAACCATGTTTCTGCAATACTTTCCATACCCACCCATGAACACAACAGATTAGTGAGCTATGTCTTCCCCCAGCTCAAGTAGTCCTCATGGAAGAAACCGGTATCTCTGATTGGGATCATACCTAGACCAGCTGAAAACAGACTAGCAGTCTGCTCTCTGGCGGTATCAAATACACTGATTGACCAGATTCATGTACAGTTTTCTATTAGTAGCCCCCTACTTAAAGAGATATAGAGAAGGCTGGTCTTTGCAATGGGATCTGGAAAGTATTGGAAAGTGAAGAAAGATTGACTTGAAACACACTCCTATATATTGAGGAGCAAAACCCAAGATATCAGGTAACAAAGATGGATGGAGGTTCATATGTTTAATCAAAGTTGACTGGTACAGATGCAGCAGTGATTTCTATTTTATCAGATCTAAAGATCTCCAGAGTTCTGTTTAAGAACCTCCAGAATAGTTAACACAGCTGGAGTGAACTCAGACCTCTCTATATTTTAGGGATCTTCAACTAGTAAAACCTTGTTGCATATTCCTGTTTTGACTGGGAGAACTTCATCTGCAGAGACAATCTGAACAGGTATATGTGAAAAGCTTCAGCATGGTTGTGAATCCCAGTAGGACAGAAACAATAGAGGATCAAACAATTTCATCATCTTGTTACATTGAGATGAACACCAAAATATGCTTGAGGTAAGGATTAGGGTTTTAGAGAATACCAGACCTGAAAATATGATGGGAAATTACATGAATACTTGAATTGTGGTGTAGTCCAAGCAGAATAGGCTGTTACATTCCAGTCATGGAACAGGCTAATATCTCCACAGCTGTAATTGTAGTATATGAAGTACTGTTCCTTGCTAAGGTTGGAGTGGAAATAAACACAGTAAAAGAACCACTAAAAACTCTGCCAAAGACTAACTGAGGTATGTTTTTATGGACATAATGAATAAAATAATCAAGCAGTTTGAGCGCAATTTGGCTGCTTTAAGTTTGTTTTGGTTTTGTATTTAAATTCCCTACTAATTGGCACTATATGCTCATTTAAAAGAAAAAGTAGGATAATAGGTAGTTTATAAACGGGAAGAGCACAGAAGGCAGAGGCAGTTGAAGAGGGGAAACTGAGAAGGCTACATCTAAACAAAATTTTGTTAACTTCTGAGTCTAAAGAGTGTGCCAAAGGAGTTTAAAGTTTTTCAAGCTGTATTCATTTAAGCTTCTGTTGGAAAAAGATTACACTGATTTCTCTTTATTGACTCTTTCAGATTCTGATCTAATCCATGTAAGTGAAAAAGACTATATATTTGTAAATAATTTGTTGTATATCTGTTCTAAGTTAATAAAATTATTAGGGGTAGAAAACAGGTCTTGGTAAAATGCCTTCAATCATCACACCATTTAGCCAACTGTAGATTTCAAAAATACACCTCAGTCCTCAGAGGACTGCTGGTTAGAAATGGTGAATACTGGTGTGACATTCAGAAACATTTTAAATGTTGGATCCCATTTCAGATGTCAATTTAACATCCAAGGGTTTATGCTGGTTCAGCTTGTTTAGTGAATACCAAGTCCTTCTGCATATAACAGTGCTGCACAGGCCAGCAGTAGTCAAGCTTTCACTCGGCACAGGCCACTTTATTTGCTAAGGACTTTGAGGGATAAATGCTATGTACCTCCTCAGTATATGACAGAAGCATGAGACAAACCACAAGTGTTCATTTCTGTCATATACTCCTGTGGATGGGAAAATGAAGTCAGGGAGTTGGTCATGTAATGAGTGCTCATACGTCAAACAGGGCAGTGACTGGGACAGAGAGTAATAGCCACTTGTGAGCAGAAACAGGAAGTTTTTATGTGGCTAGAGATTTATTTTTATCTATAGAAGAAGGATCCTGCTGGCAGAGGATGATACAAAGCAAGCCTGTGGCTGTATGACTCATTCTATTT